GGGGTAAAGGAGAGGGTCTAGAGAAATATAAAAATATTCTCATGATCCTGAAAATGAGCTCTATTTGATAAAATTGGTTTGGACATTTTTAGGGGTAGAAAAATAAAACAAGTTTGAATATGATTCAAACTTGAGGCATTTTTGAACCTAACCAAAACAACTCCAAAGGATCTTAAATTTGACAGAGAGGATTTAGGCATGGTGAACTAGCATCCGGAAAAGAATGAACATTTCTCGAGGAGGGGAAAAGGTCACTTGCCAAAATGAAAGAAAGAAGAAGGAAGGAGGAGGTGATGATGCATGATCATACATGGAGCATCCAACAAAGTGACATGCATGAATATGACAATGCACATGATGATTATGAGAATGCAAAAATACAAGAGGCACAAATGCAACATGACAATGATGGGCATGGCAATGCAATAAACCAAAAGATGAACATGATACAAGAAGCAAAATATGACAATGACACTGATCCGATCAAGGCAACAAACAGTTCAAACACACAACGACAACACGATAAAAGGAAGGCGTCTGAAGCTCCGGTCTTGGGGCATCACAGTCGTTGTGGACCGTTTCTCCAAGATGGCACATTTCATTCCTTGCAACAAGATAGACGATGCTTCACATGTTGCCAATCTCTTTTGTAGGGAAATATTGCGTCTACATGGAGTGCCAAAAACGATCGTCTCGGACAGCGACGTCAAGTTCCTTAGCTACTTTGGAAGACACTATGCGCCAAGCTCGGAATCAAGCTACTCTTCTCCACGGCGTATCATCCACAAACCGATGGCCAAACGGAAGTTATCACCCGCACACTCTCCACTCTACTTCGAGTACTCATCAAGAAGAACATCAAGGAGTGGGAGGAGTGCCTACCTATCGCCGAGTTCGCCTACAACCGAGCAAGACACTCAACAACCGGCAAGTCCCCCTTCGAGGTCGTCTACGGATTCAACCCATTGTCACCATTGGACATTCTACCTCTACCACTCCAAGAGCGCATCAATTTGGACACAAGTGCACGAGCGACACATCTCAAGAAGGTGCATGAAGATACAAGAAACATCATCGAGCACCAAGTTCAACGCCTTGTGACCAAGCTCAACTTCAACAAGCAACCTATGGTATTCAATTCCAGAGACCTCGTGTGGCTACACCTTCGCAAGGACCGCTTTCCACAAGAACGCAAGTCCAAACTTCGACCACGAGCGGATGGACCCTTCAAGGTGCTCGCACGCTACAACGACAACGCTTACAAGATCGACATCCTGCGCGATAAGTACAACATGAGCGACATCTTCAACGTCAAAGATCTCTCCCCCTTCCATGGTGATGAAGAATTTGATCTGAGGACGGATCTTCCCCAAGGGAGGGGAGATGATGCGGAGCATCCCAAGGTCATCCCCATGGACCCAACTACATCTCCTACGACACCACTCGGACCCATGACACGAGCACGCGCAAGAGCTCTTGAAACCGAGGTGACATCTCTCCTCTCACAATTCCACTTTGATGCACATGAGACATGGCTACTACCTCATATGGACACATTGTGCATACTTAGGTATCAAGGAGAAGTTAAGGAGCGAGGAGAAGAAGGAGAGGAAGATGGACGTGAAGACAGAGACGAAGAAGAAGGGGTGCAGGAAAGGTCCCAGCCACCGGACGACCGGCCGGGACCGGACATCCGGCGCCTGAAGCATCAGCCGAGCCCCAGCGAGCGGACGTCCGGTCCCGACCGAACGACCGGTGCCCCTGCACCCGAGGCAAAGGAGCGGACGTCCGGCCCCGACCGGATGACCAGCGCGACCGCACCCGAGCCAACATCAGCGGAAGTCCGGAGCTACCGGACGTCCGGCACCCCCATCACAGAACGAATCCAGCGGACGTCCGGAGAGACCGGACGACCGAACGCTCATGAGACACCGAACGACCAGTCCCCGGCGGACGTCTGGTACCTGGCTGTGTCCAGTTTCGGGCCCAAGGCCCATGTACCCCTACTTTCGCCTCCATTTGCACTTAGACTATATATAGCCCTCCTATTCCTTCTAGCTAGGGTTAGCATTGGTTTAGCTCATTTGAGAGATAGAGCATTGCTCATCCACATCGGATCTACTCCTCGAGAGAGACCGCGGCCTCTTCGGAGAAGATCCCTTTGGATTCAAGACCTCCTCGCGGACAAGAACATCAAGACCTCCTCACAGAGAAGACCGGCTACCCTTGTATCGTCCCTAGTTAATCGTGTACCGTGTGAACTCTTATGTATCCGAGGATCTAGCACATGTGTGACTATCTTGTGTTGTTTTAGTGATTTTCCCGTGTTCTTCGTGTTCATCGCGGGATCCGCTCCTTTCGTGAAAGATCAGGCGATTAGGGTTCTACCCTACATCACCATGTCAAATTCCTGGCTCCGTCCCTGCTCCTCTGCACGCGCACTCTACGACCTCCCCGCCACCTAGGACTGCGCCAGGAGCACCGACGCCGTCCGATGCTTCCTCCCCGGCCACGAGGTCGAGTTCTATGCCACTACATCAACTGGATCGACCACGTCTTCATCGCTACTGTTGTCGGCGTTCTTCCTCAACTTTGACACCTCTGCTACTCCTAGTCACTCACCGGGCCTCCTTGCGCCTCCTTGCTGAGCTACCGCTTGAAAAACCCCTCTCAGTTGGTTGATGCAAGTTTCAATTAAATCGAGAAAAACTCTTAATTTAGGAAGGACATGCGGATGCTATAAATGGATTTGTGGGCTGCCCTCCTAATTTAGATGGGATGGAGTAATGAACATGGCTGACGGATGGTACGAAGAAGGGACATGCACGACTGCTGATTTGGCTGATTTGGCTAGCTAATTAAATGGGATCCTTAGGAACTAAGTCAGCGTTGCATGCAGGAACAGCGGGAAAAAAAAGAGAAATGGATCAGATCGTGCATGCATGCGCGCGAGTGCACACGCGTGAGCTCTAGTACGAGATCAATTCCGCTCATTAAACTATATTGCTCGATTTTTCCTTCTAAAAAATCCCGAACGGATTTTTCCTTTTTGACGAATCTCGGACAGATTTGTGAGCGTTATTTTTGAATTCCCAAGAAGCTTCAGCGAGGGGCGCGCGTGCATGCGCTGGGGTTGTTGCTGTAAGCCAGTTCATCCATTTTTTTTAACACAGCTAATCTATTTTTTCAAGAGAAAAAAAAGTGCGTAGATTGGACAGTGGGCTGGTTCAAATTCCTGAGATAGCCCCAAGAAACTAAAAGGGATGAACCGATGAAGTAGATTTCAGTCTAGGTTTTGTTCAACTTTGATTTATTCATGGATGGTCTCAATAAACTGTCAAACAACAATCATACCAAAAATATCCACGTTTACCAGGATTTTTAATGCTGGACTAATGTGCATTTCTGCTAGACCTCGGCATGCACCTTCCGGTTGCCGCCAGCTTGTGTCGTTTGGATATTATAGTGTCGCATTGATGAGTGTTTTGGTAGACATCCCAATTGTTTTTTCCATTGCAACGCACGGGTATATATACTAGACTAATTCTTCCAAACCTTGGTGTTGCAGAATCGATTGTCATAAACGCTTGGTATATACGGTGGCAGAGAATTTATGAAAGAACACCCAGTGGCTTCGCCTGGCAGGACAACATTCTCTATCGACGCAATCAAATCAAACTTTACAGCTGCTCAAAGCATTATACAGCCACATACAGCTACAAGATGAACGTGGACTATCATTGCAGAAACCTTCGGCTGATAGCTACTCCCTCCCTTCCTAAATGTAAGTCTTTGTACAGATTCCAATAAGAGACTACATATGGATGTATATAGACATATTTTAGAGTGTTGATTTATTTATTTTGCTTCATATATAGTCATTTATTGAAATCTTTAAAAAGACTTATATTTAAAAACGGAGGGAGTACAAAATGAACGTGGACGCATCTTTTTTTCATGATGGGTCGGGAGCAACAGCAGTGATTCGAAATTGCAAGCAAGGCAGTAGCAGGTGGCTCATGGCTTCTGAATAATGTGTATGATGCTAGCACAACTGAAATAATAGTTGTGCAAAATGCTTGAAAATATAGGATGCAATGTTATCATGGAGTCTCACTGGAATTAATTCAAGCTTGCACTAGTATGAATGAAGTTTTGAGCTCGGCCACGGCAATACTTGCAGATTGTTTCCAGCGAGCAAAGACTAGGTACAGTTAGCTTTCAGCACTGTCCGTGGCCATACTTGCAGATTGTTTCCAGCAAGCAACAAGACTAGGTGGCCACTTGTAGATTGTTTCCAGCAAGCAACAAGACTAGGTACAGTTAGCTTTCAGCACCGTCCTAGTAACACCAATAGGGTCAAACATAATTTAGCTAAGCATGTTTATGATTCTAAAGTTGTACTCCCTTCATTCTCGAATATTTGTCTTTCTAACGATTTTAACAAATGACTACATACGAACTAAAATGAGTGAATACACACTCTAAAATATGTCTACATATATTCGTATGTTGTAACCATTTGAAATGTCTAGAAAAACAAATATTTGGGAACGGAGGGAGTAGTTTTTGAGGACGGTGATCCTCCTAGCTTTTTTCTTCCACACATCATCTTCGATGTAACTATTATTTGAAAACAATAAAGTGTGCCCAAGGGCATTTCCCCTCAAAAAAAGAACTTGTTAGAGGAAGTGTCAGACGTAGTGTAAAGGTTATTTGTTACGCATATGATCAACCGATCAGGCCATCAAATTGGCAGGTTATATGAATCCTCATGAAAAGTTAGCAAGCTCTAGTACACCAATCAGTTTACACATTCTTCTCGGCAACGAGCCATAAATAATACATGGCTGCGACGGGGCAACTCTACAGGGCCCCCGGTGAGCTGTGAGAAGTGAACTAAAACATCATCTGCTAAAAGCACCTTGAATCGATGATGGGTGTTGTGGTTAGATAAAGGAACACCACATCTCATCTCTGTCACTCCCTCGTGGGGTCTCTCACCTAGGGTTAGCCTCCAGTTTGTGGCTGCCACCTACGTACTTCCCGTTGCTGTTATTATTAGCCTTCTTATGAAGTTTACCCTCATCATCGTGCTGCTGCACTTTGGGCGCTGCGATGCTCATGCCCAGTGTGGTTGTGACCGCAGCAGGTTCCTGAGACTGAATCATTTCACCATTCAGAGTTAGAATACCATCAGGGCAAGTACTACCAAGAATGAAATTGGCATTCCTCATATGTACATATGGCAAAGTATGGGCGGAGTGCCATGTGCTCACCATTAGTTGTGCATTCTGTGCTTCCATATCTTCACAGGCCTTCTTAAGCTGGTCAAGCTCAGTTCTGAGGGCGTTGTTCTCAGTTGTCAGCTCAGCAACCTTCCTGGATAATTCCTCGCACTCTTGCTGATAAACAGTGGAAAGAATCATGTCAATGCAAAAGGATTACTTATAATTAGGACCTTTATTGCAAATGTAAGTACTAAGATGCCACCGCAAAGGATTCAAAGGGAATAGTAATTTTATGTCCCAGCAAGTCACTATGTACAGCTCTGCTTAGTCATACTATTCATGGCTGTGCGTGATGGCATTCCAGAGGAGAGTAGAAAAGAGATGGTCAGCACCTTACCCCATCAACAAAATTTCAAAGGGATAGATTATAGTTTTATGAAGCTGATTTTCAGAGTTTGAATTATGTTTTACAACAAAATTCCTGGTGTCATCTCTAAATTTCTTCTACTGCGGTTGCATGCACACCTCATCAATGGAAACATGCAAGTAAGAAATCAACAAAAATTTAGCTGCCTGGACCAAATTCTAGAGGTGAAATATATAGCAAATATGCAACTATCGCCAATAGTTTTGAGTCCGCTTTACCCTTCTGAGATATTATGAGTGTCAACTCTTCACCCATTTGGGCGACATGGCTGCGTGCACGGACAAATGAGAGTTCAAAACGGACAAGCGCAGACACCATCTGGACGCGTCCAAGTTATAAGGGGCCAAATAATCCCATTCCAGTTGTAGATGCTCTTACCACCCAGAACTTCCCCCTGCGACCGATTTCAGTTACATGATGGCCACGATGTTGAAACCACTCCCAAACCTCAAAGGATGAAGTGCCAAGTGTTGGAAGCTCAGGTGGTTAAGCAAACCAAAAAATTTAAGGGGGTAATTGCACATTTGTGGGCCATTTCTTTTACTAGAAGTGCAAAATAACATGAATGTTCAATATTCGTTCTGCATCTACTCACTTCAGTATTCCGCTTACAAAACAGAAGGTGTGGCTTATGCAGCTGTCACAACTGGTGTCTTTCCTGGAAGGCAATTTTGACGGCAAATTTGACTGAGTTTCAGTACAACAAACATTTCAAAATGTGTGGGAAGGATAGGCAGCCCAGTCAAAAACTGGTATGCCTGCAGTTGTAAGAAAATTGCCTGATTTGATATGTAGTATTCAGCTTATTTTCCAAGTACAAGAAACTAGCATAACCAGAATACAAATTATATATTAAGCAACCCACATTTATTGAACTACTGGGCTTTGCAATGCATAAGGAATAGCCCGGTGATTCAGGTGACAAAAGTCAAGCCCACCTAGAGGCCAAACACTAGCATGTCTGCATGTGCATATCATTACTTGACTGGTTTCTGCTTTCTCCCTAGGGAAAGAAGATACGATACTTTTTGAAGAATGCAATCCCCGCATTCCGGCCCTGCTCTGCAAATCAACATCTGAAGATCTACGGGTCACCATAGTCTTCTGATCCACTAATAAGATTCCGCGCTCGAGATGATGTGATCCATCAACTGGTGGCTCGTGGTGAACTGTGACCATTCAACTGCAACAAGGCAGCATCTGGTGAGGAGGTGAGATCATGCCAAATCCTTCCTGTGGCCTCCGACAGCGAGATGGCGCACTAAATCCCTCCTGCCAGTAATATGGCAGCATCCAGTTGAGAAGGTAGTTTTTTTGCAGGTTCCTCATCTAACTCCCTAATCCACTGTTAGATTTAACTTGACAGTTAACTAAAATGATGAATGCATGATGCATATCCATCCTCTTTGTGGTTCTGTATGCTTCCTCCGTAGAGGTGAATACCAAACCTAAAAAAGGGGGGGGCTGTTACATATGCTACTTCTACTTTACTGAATTTTGAACGCGGTATGCTGAAACCGATTTTCGAAAATACACAATAAAGCTAAATCATACTCCGTCCGTTCCATAATGTAGTGCATACATATATTTTTAAAACTCAAAACTTTCAAAGTTCAACCAAGTTAATCGAAAAAACTATTTATATCTACAGTATCAAATATATATAATATGAATATGCGTCTCATGATGTATCTAATAGTGTCAAAAATGATATTCTAGATGTAGATATTTTTCTCTATAAACTTGGTCAAACTTTGTATAGTTTGACTTAGTATTAAGTATATATACATATGTATATATATATATATATATATATAGGAAAATAGTTATATACTCCTGAGAGTACGTACTCCCGCTCCTCATATACCACATATATGAATCTTTTATACCTCTTTATTATTTTTAATATACTTCATTATTAACTACTAGATACCTTAAAATGATTTTCATGAAAAAAATTATGTGAGTCTACATATTTTTAAAGGTTTACATATATACTGATTTGTTCGTATGTGAAAAAGGTATATTGCAAAAAGTACGTCAAAAATGATATTTTTTTCCACAAAACTCGTATTGGGGTATCCTAGAATATTTAATGAAGTATATTGAGAATGATAAAAAAAGGGCAACCTGGTGCATGTAGCTCCCGCTTGCGCAGGGTCCAGGGAAGGGTCCGACCACTTTGGGTCTATAGTACGCAGCCTTTCCCTACATTTCTGTAAGAGGCTGTTTCCAGGACTTGAACCCATGACCTCATGGTCACAAGGCAGCAGCTTTACCACTGCGCCAAGGCTCCCCTTCTATATTGAGAATGATAAAGAGGTATAATTAATGCGTCTACAGGGTATATTGAAGATGGGAGTATAGAAAATTAGTCCTATATATATGGAACGGAGGGAGTATTATGATATGCACTAGTACACTGCAGGTTTGAACAACCATCAGAGACGTCGAACAGTGATGATTTGAGGACAAATGCTAAGCAATGAAATTCACTTGGCAGGGACAAGAGATTCAGGAGAGAGGTACATAGTGGATCTGGAACTTTCTTAAGCCATTTGCTGAATAGAGAGATGGCAGATATAACACAGATAAAAAACAGAGCTAAAGGATAATAGACAAAAGATAAGGTTAGCATACTGCTAATCTCCTATCCGACAAACTAATTGCTCCCTATCTCTTCTGCATGCCACTGCAGGCATGTGTGACTGCTGCTGCCGAAGAGTTATCACACTGTGCAACTGCTCATGTTTTCAATATGCTTAACAATACCAACAGTAGGGAAACCTGGGTATAGTAATTTTTGGCATAAAACTGCAATATCATAGTTTAAGTCTCCAAGTTCCTTTCACGGTAAAAATAAGTGTTTACCAGGTTCATCACTAGTACCATCATATTTGATACAAATTAAGAAATGAAGAGAAGCAGCAGCATTTATTGTTCACATGTATTTTTGCAATGAGGTGTAATAGTTCCATTACTACCTGCTTGCGTAACCTTGATCTCCTCGCAGACTCCCTATTAGATTGTTTTCGCCTCTCCCTCTTAATTTCACGCTCATCCTGCCAAAATAGGAATGATTAAGAGCAGTAGAATCAGATAAGTAACACAGAAACATGGAAAAAAAATCTATGAGACCAGGTCTCACAGGCCAGCACGTGAGGTCCGCCCCGATGAATGATACGTGGCATTCACAATCTTAAAGAGCTACTCCCACTTTGCCCATTAATTACCAAATTCCTGAATGCAATTCCTACGCTTGAACAGGTACGTATACGTACACAAGTACACAGCGATTTAGGATTTGCTTGTTCTCGCTCTCGTTGATGACGGCCAAGCAAAAGGACTTCATCGCCTGTGGCCGCTCGGAACGACACATTGACAACTACTCGTCCATGGTCGTGCCGAATGATCTCGTCACCAGTATCCGCGCGAGACGGCCCTGTGGAGACTTCCTGTCAGTGGCCACGCTGGAAGACCTCGCCACCAGCGTTGCTGGCTGGGCGGACTTTACGTTGGTCACGCGCCAAGACGCCAATGCCGGTGGCTGGGTGGAGACCTCGTCGATGGCGGCTATGCTGGAAGACGACTCCTTGTTGATGGTGGTCACGCACCAAGACGTCCTCGCCGAGGGCGGGACTAACTCCTCAACGCCGGCTGGGTGCCAAGACGTATGAAGCTGCTCGTCATCAACACATTCCTTTCCTGCTGCAAGCGCGGCGATGTGTTGGTGCACGACCACCATATGTTCTTCTTGGCTTTGGAGTTGTATATAACCTTCATAGTTAGTAGATTAATTACTTTCAAGTTTCAGTATGAGCTATCTGAAGATTGGTTTAGCCAGCGAACTACTGTACTCGCTCAACCAGCCTAACTTTGCATGGATCACTCACCGGGAGTGGAAGAGTCCTAGACGAACAAGGCGTGTTAATTAGCTGACACTAGAACCACCGGCCGGGAGTCCGTCGTCTTGGACGAGTGCGGCGTCACATAGCAGCTGGATGCATCTTGTCGCACGGTTACCACTACGCGTCTACCGGCGGCGAGGTCTTTCAATACGGCCATGGACAATAAGTCATCATAGGATCGTGCCACACAACCACCGGCAATGAGATCCTTTGGGGCGACCATGGCTAGGAGTCGTGGTAGCATGAAGCCACGCGGCCGCTAGCGAGGTGGTTCGGCGTGGCCATCGACGACAAGTCTTGGTTGCGTAGTACCGTGCAGCAGCCGGCGATGAGGTCATCCGGCGCCGCCATGCATGAGAGCAGCATGTGAGCCCTAGCTCATGGGGTGCGAGTTGTAGGTATCCCATACAACACGTTAGATACGTATACATGATTGGAGTCGGGAATGTGTGATGTAATTAGGCAAAGTGGGATTACACGTGCTTTGGGATTGGCATCGTGACGTGTCATCCATCGGGACGGGTCTCACATGCTGGCCCGTGAGACCTGGTCTCATAGAATTTTATTCCCAGAAACATGGTCTTTAAACATGTATTGTAAGACAAAAACCATTCACGCCGTGACTTTCGAGGCATTCCAAAACAGGCGCACATCAAAAAATCACTTTCTGGATGCTGCCATAAAAATTAGAAAAAAAGAATCTCCATACCAGCTGACCAACACCATCACATCGGGCAAGCGCCAAGCCAGGATTTGCTTCCCCCTGCACTGGGATCACAGCTAAGGATTGAGAAGCACTCCAAAGATCAATCCCTATGTTCAGATTTGGCGTGGCATTGGGAAGTGCTGCCCGCCCAGGCGCAGAAACTGGAAGCTTTGAGGCAGACCTCCCCTTCAACTGATACGGTGACTCGACAGCAGCATATGGAACAGCAGCAGCTTGAGACGGTTCACCTGGCAAATACCAATGTAATTATTCAATCTTCTAAAGGAACAACTGAAGCTACCAAATAGTTGAGCATCCGATGACCCACCTTCCGCTGAGGTATTACCAGATTTCCTCTTCTTAGGTGCAGACGAATCCTGAAGAGAGCCAATATAAACCACATAATAAAGTCATAAACATAGTAATTGCAAAAAAACAAGCAACTTTAAAATGCTCCCTTGCGTCACAGCAAGTTCTTCTGTACCTTTTGGTCAGTGTCATAATCTCTCGTGTCTGAAGACTCGTCACTGCCGCTCCCACAGCTGCACAAGAAAATTTAAATCCTAAATAACTTTTTTAAACTACATTAACAGATAGGTGAGGGAGAACAAAAAAGTACCTCTGCGAAGCGTCGTCGCCAGAGGGCGCAGCAGAACTGCCCTTCTCAGGAGACACGTCACCGCCCTTAGCCTTGCCCTTTCCTTCTGCCACAACTGGCGCAGCTGCGGCAGCAGCAACAGCTTCAGCAGTCGGGTAAGGAACACCCTGCGCAGAGGGAACGATTTCACCACCAAAAATCCCGCCAAATCCAAGTCCAATTCCCCCGATTGAGCATGAAACCGACTAGAAACGGAGACTTGTGCACTCACCGCGGCCATGGACGCGTGGGCGTAGTACGCCATCGCGGCCCCCGGGTGGTACATGGGGAACTGCACCGGCGCGCCGTACGATGTCCCTGAGGCCGCCGCCGCCGCCATCAGCTGCTGAATCAGAGGAAAAGCAACAACCTAGTCAAACACCCCGGCCTTTCCCCTCCTCGCCCAGCCCAAAATTGGACAATCTCGTACCTGCGCGGGCCAGGCGGCGTAGGGATGCCCCCCGGAGGCGTAGAACGCCTGTATCGAGGCGGCCCACTCTGCGTGGGACTGCGGCGCGGCGGTGGCCACAGCCACGGCGGCCGCGGGAGGCTCGGGCGGCTTGGGCTGCTCATCGGAGGAGGACGCCATGCGCGCTCGCGGGAGAGATCTAGGGTGTTCTGCACCTCCCCTGCACGAGAAGGAAGCGGCGGAGGTGGTGGGTATAGCGAGCCACCGGCGGTGGAGCTACCTGGGCGGTGTGGGGAAGCAGCAGCCGAGCAGGAGGGGCGAGCAGTGGGAGAGCAAAAAAGGCTAGGGTTTGGTGTCCTCTTACTGCGTGTACACCTCCCGGGTACACATAGCAATACCGACAAAAACGTGGCACGCGATGATTGGCTGCCAGTGGAGGTGTGGCCCGCCAAAACGTAAGACTGGTTGTAAGGCTAGTCGTAATGGAAGTATCATAAGTAGTAATCCCTCCTTCCATCAATATAGGGTCTAATGCGCTTTTTAAGACCGTCTTTGACTATTGACAAGATTAATAATACATGACATGCACAAGTGAAAATTATATCATTGAAAGCTCCTTTCACGCACGAATTTAACGGTGTGCTTTGTGTAAGTTGCATGTCATATATTATTACTCTAATATTTGGTCAAAATTAGCCTCGAAAAACGCATTAGGCCCTATATAGATGAAAGGAGGAGTATCATGCATGCCAAGTAGGCAATTTTGATGATATGGCATAGCATTAAATGAAGAAAGAGATGGTTGAGTATCATACTCCCTCCGTCACAGTTTAGAAGACACAGTTAAATTTACGTGTGTTTCCATAATAGACAAGGTTTAGGGCGCATTGCATTTATTTCTAGTAGCTAATTAGTACTCCGATATACTATTTCTATATGCATGCGTAGTGTGAATGTTTATTTTTAGCCCATCTCACAACCAATAGATAACCACCTAGGTCCTAGAGAATTTCCAAGCGCGTCTTCTAAACCGTGACGAAGGTAGTATCATGATACTGTATCATAATAAATGCAATGCTACTATATGTCATGCATGGCAATAAATAAAGTCATCTATGATACTAATACATGATACTATGCATTAGAGGGGTAGTATCACACACTAGTATCATATGCATGATACTAACTTATGATATTACCCATTACAAACAGCCTAAGGCTGCTTGTAATGGAGAGTATCATATACTAGTATCATGCATATGATACTAGTTTATGATACTACATCTGTAATGTATAGTATCATATGTTAGTATCATAGAGGATTACATTTATTGCCATGCATGACACAAAGTAGCACATCATTTAATATGAAATAGTATCATAATATGATACTCAAATCTCTCTTTCTTCATTTAACTCTATGTCACCTCATCTAAATTGCTTAGACTACCCACATTGGAAGTAACATAGACAGTAACATCACACATATCTAGATAAAATAGATGATGTGGCAATCAATAAATGAAGAAAGAGAGGTATGTAGTAACATAGCTAGTTACTACTAGTATGAGTAACATCACACATATCAAGGCAAGATGAGTCTATAGCCTAATAAATGAAGTGTTGTATGTTACTACACATATGTTACTCCCCACTATAGAAGTACTAACATAGAGTAGTAACATGGGCATTGTTACTAGTCTATGTTACTATCCATTGTGGCTAGTCTTAGTTGGCATGCATGATACTATCTATGATACTTTCATTACGGGCAGCCTAATGGGGAGTATCATATACTAGTATCGTGCATATGATACTAGTGTATGATACTATCTCCCTAATACATAGTATCATATATTAGTATCATGTAGAACTCTATTTATTGTTATGCATGACACATAGTAGCATATCATTTATTATGATACATTATCATGATATGATACTAAACCCTTTTTTCTTCATTTAAGTCTATGACACATCATCAAAATTGTCTAGTTGACATGCATGATACTAGCTATGATACTACTATTACGACCAGCCTAAAAAGGAATGACACGTCGAGTTTCTTGGATCCTGGGTCCATGTGTCGGCTTCCTTAAATGCAAATCGGTGCGTCCGATGCGAGGCACCCAAACGAATCTTTATCTTTACTAGCAAAAGAGTCTGTGCGTTGCAACGAGAAAAAATACCACATGTGAAACAACATCATATTCAGATTATACACATTTTTCTAATCAATTTTCATATATAACATGCTAAATTAAAGTTAGGGTTTAAAAGATATGAATATTTTCTAAAGCATTTGAATCTATACTTAAACGTCATTTAAAAATGGTTAACGAGTAAAAATAACGTCATATCAATATTGTACAGATTTTTTAATCAATTTTATAACATGTTAAATTCGAATTACGGTCTAAAAGATATGAATATTTTCTAAAACATTCAAATCTGTTCCTAAACCGAATTTAAAAGATGTTTGACTTGTAAAAGTAATGTCATATTCATATTGTACACATTTTTCTAATCAATTTTCATATATAACATGTTAAAATCAGAATTACGGTTAAAAAGATATGAATATATTTTTAAACACTTAAATATGTTCCTAAACCGAATTTAAAAATGGTTGACGTGTAAAAATAATGTCATATTAATATTTTACACATTTTTATAATCAATTTTCTTATATAATATATTAAAACTATAGTTATGGTTTAAAAGATATGGTTATTTAAAAAAAGATATTTATTTTTAATAGACTGTGGGGTGATTAACGCATATATCGGGGTTTATGTAAAATGGCAAAAACAATTCGCAGTGACTTAATGTGGATCGTGGGTTAATTAGCATGAAAGATAGGGGCTTTTGTGTAAAATGCGAAAAAACGACTCGTTCTCACTTAAAACGGGACAACAAGTTGAATTCTTTGAAACTAATGAACTTTTCTGCAAAATACCGTGACGGACGACCAGAAGTGTTAACTGCTTTATTATTATAGGGAAGATTTTTATCTTTATATATACTATAATAAATCACGCATTGTTTCCGTCAGGTTCATCGTCGTGCCTTTTTTAAATCTTTCTAATTTTGGGTATTCAACCCGCAATCAGTATTCAACCCACGATGCATCATGCACATTCACGTGCTGGACTAAAAAAACACGCCTTCATGTACTGGAATTTTCCCGTATGTAACAACAACACGTAGTGGGCTTCCCGATTGATCCATTGTCTATGTCACGCACCGTTTACAATTTGAGGGTTAATTCATCTATTGAAAATTTAATAGTCTCACATCGCTATTTTAATTCTAATTATTCCAATTTATATACTCATTTGAATTTTCTGAGATATCAATAAGGAGAAGTTAAGGATTGAGGATTCTAGAGAGTGTGACGAAGAGATCAGGAAAGAAGTGGGCTGATTAAACCAGAGTGCAGATCGGACAAAGGAATAATGAGAAAAGAGAGGGCTAATCAAATCGGACGATCGACGGGCAACGGCAGCGGATGTGTGGCCTGCCAGATGAGGGAAGGTCGGGGTAGCTGCAGGA